ACACGCACACTCACTCATACTCACGCACTCATACTCACGCACACTCGCACGCACACACTCACTCATACTCACGCTCACTCATACTCACGCATGCTCAATCATACTCACGCTCAATCATACTCACACTCACTCACTCACTCATACTCACGCACACTCACTCATACTCACACACTCACTCATACTCACACACACTCAGTCATACTCACGCTCACTCATACTCACGCACACTCGTGCTCACTCAAACTCGCGCTCACTCACTCATACTCACGCACACTCGCACGCACACACACTCACTCATACTCGCACTCACACTCATACTCACACACGCACGCTCACTCATACTCACACACGCACGCTCACTCATGCACACACACTCATACTCACTCACTCATACTCAATCATACTCATACTCACGCTCACTCATACTCACACACACTCAGTCATACTCACGCTCACTCACTCATACTCACGCTCACTCATACTCACGCATGCTCAATCATACTCACGCTCAATCATACTCACACTCACTCACTCATACTCGCGCTCACTCACACACTCATACTCACACACGCACGCTCACTCATACTCACACTCACGCACTCATACTCACACTCACTCATACTCACTCACGCACTCACACTCATACTCACGCTCACTCATACTCACACTCACTCATACTCACTCACGCACTCACACTCATACTCACGCTCACTCATACTCACTCATACTCACACACGCACGCTCACTCATACTCACACTCACTCATACTCACTCACACTCACGCTCACTCACTCATACTCACTCGCACTCACGCACTCGCACACATGCTCACTCATACTCTCATACTCACTCACTCAAACTCACACTCTCTCACGCGCGCTCACTCACGCACGCTCACTCATACTCACTCAAACTCGCTCACTCATGCACACGCGCGCTCACGCACTCTCATACTCACACTCACTCAAACTCGCTCACGCACGCTCACTCATGCACACGCGCGCTCACGCACACTTACTCATACTCACGATCACTCACTCAGCAACACTCACTCACTCACACTCGCTCACGCACGCTCACTCACACTCGCTCACTCACGCTCACTCACGCATGCTCGCTCACTCATGCACTCGCTCACGCACACTCGCTAACGCACACTCGCTCACGCTCACGCACACTCGCTCACGCACACTCATACTCACTCATACTCACGCTCACGCACGCTCACTCATACTCTCACGCACACTCGCTCACTCACCCTCACGCTCACTCGCTCAGCACTCACCCTCACGCGCACTCCCCCTCACGCGCACTCCCCCTCACCCTCACGCGCACTCACCCTCACGCGCACACTCACCCTCACGCGCACACTCACCCTCACGCACACATACTCACACTCGCACACGCACTCACTCACACTCGCTCACGCACACTCACGCACTCACACTCACACGCACACTCGCTCACGCACACTCGCTCACACACGCTCACTCATACTCTCACGCACACTCGCTCACTCACCCTCACGCGCACTCGCTCACGCACGCACTCTCACTCGCTCGCGCATACTCGCACTCGCTGTCATGCACACTCGCTCACGCACTCGCACGCACATACTCGCACGCACATACTCGAACTCACTCTCACGCACACTCTCGCATTCGCACACACTCTCACACGCACACTCACACACACTCACGCTCACGCACGCTCACTCATACTCTCACGCACACTCGCTCATTCACCCTCACGCGCACTCGCTCACTCACCCTCACGCTCACTCGCTCATGCACACTCGCTCACGCACTCGCTCACGCACACTCACTCACGCACACTCACACTCACGCACGCTCGCTCACGCACGCTCACTCACACTCTCACGCACACTCGCTCACTCACCCTCACGCGCACTCACCCTCACGCGCACTCACCCTCACGCGCACTCACCCTCACCCTCACGCGCACTCACCCTCACGCGCACACTCACCCTTACGCACACATACTCCGCACTCACCCTCACGCGCACTCACCCTCACGCGCACTCACCCTCACGCGCACTCACCCTCACGCGCACTCACCCTCCCGCGCACTCACCCTCACGCGCACTCACTCATACTCACACTCGCAGACGCACACTCCCTCACACTCGCTCACGCACACTCGCTCACGCACACTCACACTCACGCACGCTCACTCACGATCACTCATACTCTCACGCACACTCGCTCACTCACGCACTCTCTCTCTCTCGCGCATACCCGCACTCGCTGTCATACTCACACTCGCAGACGCACACTCACTCACACTCGCTCACGCACACTCACGCACTCACACTCACACGCACACTCGCTCACGCACACTCGCTCACACACGCTCACTCATACTCTCACGCACACTCGCTCACTCACCCTCACGCGCACTCGCTCACGCACGCACTCTCACTCGCTCGCGCATACTCGCACTCGCTGTCATGCACACTCGCTCACGCACTCGCACGCACATACTCGCACGCACATACTCGAACTCGCTGTCACGCACACTCGCACTCACTCACTCTCACGCACACTCTCGCATTCGCACACACTCTCACACGCACACTCACACACACTCCTGACCTGCGCGGGATCTTCTCTCCCTCCGTGTGGTTCTCCTCTCCCTCGCCCTGCATGTCAGGAACCGCTGCCACCAGATCCTTGAGGAAGTCAAACTGCTGCTCCAGCTCTATGCACTGCTTCCTGCAAACACACACACACACGCATGAGGAACCGGGCCAGTGAGCGGCTGGAACGACACACAGATGACGGCCGTGACTCACAGGTGTGAGGTGGTCATGGTTTTGGCATTGCGTGACTGTGTGACGTGACACGCTTTGGTCAGGAGAGACTCCAGGAACAGCTCCAGAGCACGAGCTCAGATCACAGTCAAGGAAAGATAAACACCTTTACATTCATGCAGCTGACAGACGCTTTACTGCCCTGAAATCTGCACAGATCAAGCAGCGTTTACACGCCAAAACAGCTCTGAACAAATATGTGGCTGGATTTTGATGTGAGAGACAACAGCAGATGCACTTTTTCTCTGGAGGAAGCGTTATTATGGATTATGGACTGCTCATGCTCAGGCCATCCCTGTTTAGGATGAGTTTGTTTCTTCATCAGGTTTGTAGAAATGTAGCACTGCATCAGTGTCTCAGCAATGGATGCTCTGCAGTGAATGGGTGCCGTCAGAATGAGAGTCCAAACTATGCTGGATTTTTGTTTCATCTTTTGTCTTCTCCAGATGTTAACTGATGGACTGGAGTGCTGTGGATTACTTGTGGATTATTGTGATGTTTTTATCAGCTGTTTGGACTCTCATTCTGACGGCACCCATTCACTGCAGAGCATCCATTGCTGAGACACTGATGCAATGCTACATTTCTACAAACCTGATGAACCTAAAAATACACAAGACCACATGTTGTGGAAGCAAAATAACCCAAAAAACAACAAACAGTGACAGTAAAAGGATACAGATGATGACAGGAACTGCGGCGGCGACTTTGCCGATTTCTTCATCCGTCTGCATGATCTTCTTAATCCTGGCCTGCAAAACCAAACACAAAGACTCTCCAGTCATTCAGTCGCCGGCGTGCAGAAACCGAGCTTGATCTCTATATGAGAAGTGAAAGACGTAAGGCAGAGATCAGTCAGGCGTGATGTGCACATGCTGCGAGAGTCCGTCTCCATCCAGATGTCAACACAAGCACATGTCTGACTGTATCTGACACACGATCACAAAACAACAACAACAAACTGGAGTCAGTCTGAATGAGTCCAATGTGAACGCAGTCTAATCCTGTTAAACACATCAGATTGGCTCTACAGTACAGCACAGAAAGAGAAAGTTAGCTAGCATTCATGCTAACCCCCTGAAGAGCAAATCTTCACAGTAACCCTCACTAAAAGACTCTTATTGAGTAAATACGATCAAATACACTCCCTCTCAGCGTCATAGACTGATAGACTGAGTCAGATTAAAGCGGATTCATCGCAAACACACTGGTTTAGCGAGCTAGCGGCTAACTGACTAAGGTTAATCGAGCGCGCGTTTGCTCCTCTAAAGCGCATACTGTTCAGCAGAAGCTCGTGTGTTTGCTCGGCTGTGTGTGGTGAGGTGTGTCGGCTCTCACCGGAGGGAATCTGGCGTTGTATTTCTTCTTTTTGCTCGGCATCTCGGCGCACAAACGCGGCTCTGGCTCGGTTCCGTCGCAGTCTGCTGTCAAACTCAATAAATATGAAGGATAAGCTCGTTGGATTCCCGCGGGTCCGTCGCTAAAACGATTAAAGCGCCATCACTGATCGCCGGCCGTGCGTTTCTGCGATTTTTATCGACATTTTACGGTGGATTTTTGCGGGATTTCTGGCTGCGCGAGTTCTCGCTGCTTTACGGCGCTTTTTGTGCTTCCGGGTGTTTAAATAAAGTTACAAAGTCGGACACCGAAACAACTTACAATAAAAACACGTTTTTATAATAGGATTTAGACATAGATGAAACATAATTGTTATCATTATTGTTTTTATTTCCCTTAAACACCAGCGCTTCACACTCCATCACGGGAGGCGGCGGAAATGAACCAACAGAAAACGACAACCGAGAAGCAGTAGAAGAAGAAGAAGCGGAAACCGGAAGTGTTGAGGCGGAAAGCGGGTGAGAGCCGCAGTGACTCAGCAGAGTTTTGCTAGAAAAACACACAACAGAGTGATAATTTTGCACTTTTAATAGGTTTAGTACGACAGTGAACAGTACTTGGGTTTGTGATGAACTATGTGGTTTAGTGGGAGGCAGCGCATCAGTGAAGAGCTGATAATATAAACACTGATAGAGAGACACAGCAAACCTGTGTGTGTGTGTGAGAGAGAGCTGCTTCCGGCGCATCTGACTCTTCCTCGCAGCTGCACGCTTATATTCGGAGAAGAAAAGTCTGTTTAAGCAGAACGGCGAGAAAACCAGTCAGAATTCTGAGAGAAAATGTCTCCGTTACCTTTTTATTATGCGACGGAAACAAAACACAGAATTGCAAGATGTCAAGTCAGAATTCAGAGGGGAAAAATCTGAAGTGTGAAAAATAAACTTGCAATTCTGAGGGGGAAAAAAACTATTGTAAGATATACATTTGCAACTGCAAGAAAACAGACTGAATTGAGAGAAATAAATTCACAGTTGCAAGAAAGTCTAAATTGTGAAATGTAAACTCGATCACGAGAAAAAGTCACGTGTGAGATGTAAACTCAAGAGTTCTGAGGAAAAGTCTAAATTGTGAACTATAAACTTACAACAGTGAGAAAAAAGCCCAAACTGAGGTAACACTTCAGTAAACTCAAGAATACTGAGGAGAAAAATCAGTATTGTGAGATATAAACTCAATTGAGAGAAAAAAAGTAAAAATTGTGAGACGTAATCTAAAGTAAAAATAGTGATATAAATATGCAATTGCAATAAAAAAGTTAAAATTGTGAGATGTAAACTAAAGTAAAAATAGTGATATAAATATGCAATTGCAATAAAAAAGTAAAAATAGTGATAAATATGTAAGTGCAATACGTTAAAATTGTGAGACGTAAACTAAAGTAAAAATAGTGATATGCAATTGCAATAAAAAAGTAAAAATTGTGAGACGTAAACTAAAGTAAAAATAGTGATATAAATATGCAATTGCAATAAAAAGTTAAAATTGTGAGACGTAAACTAAAGTAAAAATAGTGATATAAATATGCAATTGCAATAAAAAAGTAAAAATTTATATAAATATGCAATTGCATTAAAAAAGTACAAATTGTGAGATGTAAACTAAAGTAAAAATAGTGATATAAATATGCAATTGCAATAAAAAAGTTAAAATTGTGATATAAATATGCAATTGCAATAAAAAAGTAAAAATTTATATAAATATGCAATTCCAATAAAAAAGTAAAAATTGATATAAATATGCAATTGCAATAAAAAAGTAAAAATTGTGAGATGTAAACTCAAAATGATGAGAAAAAAAGTTTGAATTCTTGCAAGTGCGAGAAAAGGTCAAAATTAAGAGATGCTAACCTAGAATTCTGAGGGGGAAAAGTCCATTTACCGTTGCATTAACCTGTGTTATGTGTATTTTGTGGCAGAGTGAAGACCTGTATAGAGAGAGAAACTCATAATCAGACAGACGCACAGGTTAGTGTTTGTCCTCCCCAGCGTCTCGCTATGGCGGAGGACGAGCATCTCTCAGCCGAGGACTACGCCGCCGAGGCCATGGCTGCCGACATGGACCCCTGGATCGTCTTCGACACCCGCAAAACGCCCCGAGCCGAGTTCAGCAGCTGGCTGGAGTCCAACCGGCCCTCGCAGGTCAGCCGCTGTGGGGCCGGGGGGCCGGTGGGCTGGATCGCGGTGCGCGGGCCGCAGTACTGGGAGGACGCCGGAGACGTGGAGGGGCTGCAGGACAGCTGGGAGACACTGCAGGAGAGCGGGCGCAGCGTCAGCTTCCACACCATCAGAGAGCTGGCGCTCAATCACAGCGTGCTCTACGGCAAGTGACTGATGCACCTGGACACGGGCTTCAAGGTGGACCGCGCCTGGGAGAGCATCGCCAGAGCCGCGCTCGACGGCAAGATCGACTCGGCCAGAGTGAGTCCCAGAGACCCGCGCTCCGACTCCAGACACGTCATCTGCGTCTACAACCAGAACTTCACCGACGAGGAGCAGGTGATGCGTCTGGACGCCGTCATCCGCGCCGCCGGCGTCAAGTGCGTCCTCTACTACAAACCCGACGTCTACTCGTACCTGGGCATCTACCGCAACAACCGCTGGAAGATCTGCCCCACCATCTACGAGAGCATGTTCGACCTGGAGAGCGTTCCTCGCCGCTCGCACATCATCAACAAGGTCACCAGCCAGGAGCTCACGTGAAGCTGTTCGTTCCTGACACTCTTGGAGGAGATCGGTCTCGTAGAAACGTTCTGTTATCCAGCGATGACTGCATGTGAACACAGCCCAAACGTTCAAGGGCTTTGAGATTTTTGAGTTTTTCCATTTAAAACGTCTTTTATATTTAACGAGGCTGGTTTTGTTCATTCGTTCGTTTTGCCAAATAAATCCGGGGCATTTCAAACGGTGTTGCTCTGTGAGATAAAGCAGTTGCTCGCATTCATTGCAGCTCACATAATAACAACAACACAAAAGCGTGTTTCGTTAGTGATCCTCCTCGAATCGTGCCAGAACGGGAGACCTGCACCACAGTCCGAGATGAAAACTCAGAATTATCAGAAAAAGGCAGAATAATGAGAAGAGTCTGAATTGCGAGATGTAAACAAAATTATAGCAAAGAAATCAGAATTGCGAGATGTATGCTCAAAATCCCAGGAGAAAAACAAGTGCACTTCCATAATGTACTTAAAGTGCTCTATTTTCGCACACTAATTAGGTTGACTTGAGAAAGCCAACCTACTGATATGCTACTTAAGCTTTTTATTATTATTCTTCTGAGACTAAATTTCTGAACGCTACTCCTCCTAGAGCTTTCAAGCTAGAACCACCAAACTCAGAAATCATGCTAGAAACATGCTAGCGACATGCTAGTAACTTGCTAATCATGCTAATAACATGCTAATCATGTTAGAAACATGCTAGTCATGCTAACGACATGCTAGCCACTTGCTAATCATGCTAGAGCCCTGCATTTCAGCCCGGGCCTGACAGGCCCCAACGTTTTTACGACTCTCGGACCGGGATTCGGGCTAATTTTCACGCCATAGTTCAGACGCGGGCCGGGCCTCGGGCCTGTTTTAGCCTTCTCCTTATTTTTATATTTTAGACATCCATCAATTAGTGATGAAAAAATTGTCACGCTGGTGGAAACAACACGAGACCGTGCTGCCGCGCCTGTCAAGAGCGGCTCAACGGTGTTTAGTGTCCAGCAGCAGCAGTACGGTGCGTGCCGTCAGCGCAGCTGAAGAGTTCTGGGGATTTGAATTATTTAGTTTTGTGGTCATTTAAAGCTTTCTATAGATATATTTATCATGTCTGTGAGGGATGTATTCGCTGAGTTTCGGATCATTTTTGTGAAGCACTCCTGTTGAAGACTGAGACGGCAGAAAGCGCATCGTGTTTGTTTTCTTTATTTTATAAAAGCACAACGTTTTGTTGATATTGTGAGTGCACACAAATAAAAGTAGACCCTTTACAGTTCCGAATGATGCATTACTCTTACCTTTATGAATAAAAATGACGGCGTATCCACTGAAAAAAATGCAAGTGATCGCGCTGGCGCCTCCATGTCCTGCAGAGCTTTAGCTTTAGCTTCCACTCTCCGCACTAACTATTGGATATAGCCAGAGGAGGACTTAACTATTAGGCAAAGGTAGGCGACCGCCTTGGGCCTCCAAAAGCCAAGGGCCCCCTAAAATGCTTTTTATATGCGAGATGCGCGTTCAGTGCGGACGCACAAGTGGTTGCTGTGGTGTTCATTCCCACGACAACCGTCTGTGCGTCCGCGTTGAACGTGCTTCTTAGCAAAAGTAGGGCGATGTAGAAAATGGGGACAGAATCCCGGAATCTATTCATAAAAACGTAATTTACTGTGTAAACCGGAATGTGACGGAATGAACGGCGCAGACGAACGTTTCGTTTGCTATTTAAGCACGCGCAACGCTCGCGGTTGTCGTCTGTAGTAGCTAAATAGTATTTCACATACACTGGTCCATATCGTGGTTTGATTGAAGTGTACTGAATTGCATTTGATTTATTCATTCAATATTTGACGAATTCCGTGACATTGCTCGTTACACAGTAAACTTCTGTTGTGTAGCATTTTGAATGTACAAAAATTAAAGGGTTTGTTTAATTTTCATTGGAATAAAAGATAGATTAATGTTTTCGCCTTCATTTGATTACCAGAAAAATGAAAATACACAACACAGAATTTCTAAAAAATAAGTAAATAAAATTTAAATTTAAATTTCATAGGGCCCTATTATTGTATACAAATTAATAAAATAAGTTGTTTTTATGAATTCAATTAATTAGATATGTTTTTGATTAAACCATTAAAATGGAATACAGAAAAATTAAAATTGGAAAGCGCAGAATTCTGGCCCTAAGAATGTAATTTTTGTTAAACTTTTAATAGGCCTAAATTGCTGTTAAATTAAACAAGTTTCATGATTTTAATTAATTAGACATGTTTTTTGTTCAAATTTAATATAATCCAGAAAAATTTAAACGAAAAAATAAAAGATTTTGGAAAAAATAAAACTTAGGCTAATTTGGGAAAAATAAAACGGATTTCATAGGGCCCTACAAATATCATGCATCTGAAGCTATAATGTAATACTAAGCAACAGTGCATATTATATAGGGCCTATTTTAATTATTTTAAATGGCGATTAAAGCAAAAAAAAAATCCTGAGCCTGAACTTTTTTCCGGGGGTTGTGAGGGCGGACACATACACAGGGTTATTTGACAAACAAAAGAAGAAAATGATTTTCCTTGAAACTAACTAGTAACACATCTGCCCTTGCCATTAGCCCTGGACAGGCTCAGACTACAGATTATGGTGGATATCTGAAACAGCAATACCAGGAATGTTTACTCACTACAATATGGTGCAAACACATGTAACATTTAGGATGCTTTTAATATAAAGTTTTGCTGGTTAGCTTTGTCCTTGACAGAGTACAGGATGACCTACAATCTAAAACATGACATTTCTGAAATTGCTTTGTTCAAAAGAAATAATGGTAAATTAAATACTAGGAAATGAATATAAAACAGGAAATATACAAAGACAGTTTACTCCAGAAAACTACAGTTCAGTTAAATTAACAACAACAAAAACATTCAAATGCTCCAAGAACTGGGAACTTAAACAGGGTTCGTACAGATACTGCAAAATAACATTCCAGGACTTTCAAGCACTTGCACTACTTTTTTGGTTTTCAAGGACTACAATCAGATCTCACTTATCAAAAAATATTGTTATTATTTTTCAAATTCGAATAAATAAACGAATAAAACAAAATGGTACAAATAAAGTGCAGCACATACAAAGCATGCAATGACTGTGGCAACTTTAACATTTGAAAGGATGCTATGACAAAGTTATCGCTTTCTTTATTCAAACTGATTTATTTTTTCATGAATACATGATTGACCTGAAGAATGAAAGCTATATCATACACTTGGAAAATCATGAGCTATACCACCGCTTATCAACACTAGGGGTGTGACAATACACTTAGCTCATGAGATGAGACAACATACAGATACTTGGTTCACTAGAACGAGACAATGTTTTAATACAAAATATTTGTCTTTTAATCACAAAAAGTAAAGCAATGCAGTTGTATTTTGAAATGTTTTAACTAATCTAGTGCTTAACTAATGATTATTTTGCTAATCAAGTAATCTGATATTTTTTAGTAATACAAATAGAACTAAGTGGAAAAACAGGCTTTATTATGATTATATTTATATATAAATTAATGATGAGGCAATAATAATTGGCTCAAATAAAGCATCAAAACCAAGTGCATGGTTTTATTGAACAACACTGTTAAACACATAATGTAATATGCCTATATTATAACAAACACCTGCAGAGGGCGCCAACGGCCTGGTGATGTTTCATGTGATTCAACGACGTTTAAATCCATTTAATTGTAATATTTGGCCACATTAGAAACTAGAAACTTTTATTTTGAAATCGCGATGTACAATAAATGGCATATTTAGAAATATGTTGATGTATTCTCCTGTGTTGGCATAGGTTTAAATGATTTACATTACAAATCAAGTGAGTTTTCCCAGATGAAC